ATTATTATTATTATTATTATTATTATTATTATTATTATTATTATTATTATTATTATTATTATTAAACGGATTAGAAAACTTTTGTTTTTTTTTCTCGCATGTTTTCGCGTGTTTTCGTCTTTAATCCCTCCCCCCCCCTCCGCATACCTGAATTTTAATCATTTACCTCAAACGCACTAAATCACCTCTCTCCTCCATTTTGTTTTTTACTATGCACATCCGAACAATAATATTTTAATTATAATTTGAAAAGATTACATTATGATTATGATTTATATAAGTGCTATTATTCTTCCTACGTTCCGAATTATTATCTTAATTAAATTTTTGTGACGTCATACGTGGATACAAATCGAGTTTTTCTGTGAAAATTTTTAAATTTTGTATCGAATGTGCGCGACGCGTTCGAATTCCGTTAAATTTGTTTTTTTTTTTTTTCAAACGTTGGCGCTAATGATGTGTGTATAAATTTACTCGTCGATCATAAACGATTTTAGTTCTTTTGAGGATGTAATACTTACATAAAAACATGAAAACATTAATGAAAATAGCAAATGGGCTTTTCTTTAAAGGTGTTTGTGTGCGCGTGCACGCACAATGGGTTTCTCGAAACATTATCGTTTTTTTTTTTTTGTTTGTTCTATCTCTCTCTCTCTCTCTCTCTCTCTCTCTCTCTCTCTCGATTTCGTTTCCGTATCTAAGATATATCTTATTTTTCAAAAAGTTGATTTTTCCCCCGAGGTGAAAAGAGAGGAAGAGAGTGAGTGAGAGAGAGAGAGAGAGAGAAAGAAAGAAAGATAAATATGGCGACGTTGCAATTTCACATAAAGGTTTTTTCCTAACCCTTTTTTTAACAGGGTTTGTTAATCAACAACCGCAACAACAAGAACAACAACAACAACAACCTTTTTATCCTTTTTTTCCTTTTTTTTTTTTTTTTTGATTCTCCTACATTTGTTATTATTTTATTTTAAACGTCGAATTATCGTACCTGATTTTTCTCTTTTCTAGTTAATAATAAATAATTTTCCATAAATTTTCTTTTTTTCCTTTTTTTTTATTTAATAAAATTTGCTTGCTCGAATAAAAATTTATTAATATTGGAAAAGGTAAGCGAAAAGCGTGAAATGTAATTTTTAATTAGACGTCGATAAAAAAAAAAAACAAATTTTTTTTTTTTACCCTAATACGGCACTGAACGTTTTTTTTTTTTCGTAAGGGGTGAATAGGTGCAAGGGGGGGGGGGAATTTCAAATACTGACACGGTTAAATGAACGATTTTTTAATATTTTTGTTCGTATTTTTCTACTTCCACGTTTCTACGTTTTAAACTGTATTAAATAAGATTGAATTTTTTTTTTTTTTTTTTATAATCAAACGTTGGCTCTCCTGTATTAAGTTAAACAAAAGAAAGAAAAACGTTTTTTAAAACCTCGCGATAAATAAATACATTTCTTTTTTTGTTTTTATTAGTTTGAACGGATCTTTGTTAAGGAGGATAAAATTTGGCGGGAAAATCGCTCCACCGCCTTTTTTAAATATGATGACGTAATTAATTTCATCGCATTAAAGTTTTCATTTTGAATTTCTTTTATCGTAAAGACGGAGGAGGGGGAGGAGGAAGTGATGGGATGGGATGGGGCGGAGAGAGGGGGGATGAGGCATGGAAAAAAAAACGAACGAGAAAGATTAATGATAATAATAATAATGATAATAATAATAATAATAATAATAATAATAATAAATCGAATTAAGATATTTTTCTCTCATAAAAAAATTTTTCAGTGATGAAAGAAGAAGGAAAAAAAATTTTTTTCATTGAAATCGTTTTTTTTTTTTTTTTAAAAGGCGGGAAAAGTGATGGGAAGAATAAAAAAGGGATAGAAAGAATCCCGAGGATAGGACCGATGCTAAAAAAATTTTTTTTTTTTTATTTAAAGGGTCAAAATTAGTTTTGTCATTTTGGGGAGGGGGGGAGGATCCTTTTCATTCGAACGTGATATATTTAATAGGGGTACCAGGTGGGACGTGTGTGGGGAGGAGGAGTTAAAAGGAACGTAGGATTAAATTTTTTTTTTTTTTTTTATTCTTTTAATTAACTTTTATTTTATTGGAAGCGTGGGAAATGAGGAAGTGAGAGGAAGGAGGAAGGAGAAAGGAGGGGAAAGAAGGAAAACAAGGAAAGAAAAAAAAGTTTTCCAGTAAAAAGAATTCCAGTTAAACTTTTTAATTTTTTTTTCTTTTTTTTAGCTTCTTAATAATTTTTTTTTTTGTTGTAACTTGCAGCTGGGGGGGAGGGGGATTGGGATTGGGTGGGGTTTCGATTCTTTTGTATTTTGTTTTGTATTTTTTTTTTTTTTTTCGTAAATAATTACAGTTTTTCTTTTTTATTTTTTTCTCTTGTGTGTTAATTTCATTTGAAAAAAAATTATTTTAAATCACGAAGAAAACGTTTAATTAATTTTATTTTAACGTCTATAGGAAAAAACAGAAAAAAAAGGAAAATTTTCCAATCGAGAATTTTCTTTTTTTTTATTATTATTATTAATAATAATGATAATGATAATAATAAGAAAAGGAAAAGAATTTATTTTTTTATTTTTAAGTGTTTTTTTCTTTCTTTCATTTAATTACTATTTAAAAAAAAGGAAAAAAAAAGGAAAGAAAGGATGATGGCGGATTAAAAAATTTTCATTTAATAATCACTTAAACATCATCATTATTATTATCATCGTCATATTCAATCCATCATTTTTACTTTTTTTTTTTTATAAAAACATTTTATTATTATTATTATTATTTCCCCTCCCCCTATGTCTTTTCTCTTTTCTTTTTTTTTCTTCTTCCACTTCCCGTTTTTATTTTTTTTATTTTTATTTTTTTCATCTGCCACGACTTTTGTAACGTTTTATTCCTCCCATCCGGTTCCAGCCGACGCCGCCACCGAGTCTCCCACGAAAAAAAAAACCTTGTATTTTCAATAAAAAATTTTCTTTTTTTTTCTTTTCCCTTTTAACCTTTCCTGGAGGAACACAAAAGGATGAAAATTCCCCATTTTATCATCTATTCATCCATTTTTTTTTTTCGTTTCTCGAATGAAGTGATAACAGTGATAACAATTACCGTTAAAATTTAAATTTTTTTTTTTTTTTAATTATTCAGTCTCGCGTTTCGAAACTCCCATCTCATAATACTAATAATAATAATAATAATTTTGTATAAATCGTTAAGTATCCCTCTGGATAAAAAAAAAATGGGAGAAGGGGGAGGGGGAGGAGGGATAAAGGATAAAGAAAACTGGAAAAAAGCGGCGGGAATCGTGGGGGGAGGGGGTAAGGAGGAGGGAGTAATAGGGAGGAAGGGAGTGGCAGGGAGGGAGGGATAAAAAATAAATTTAAATTTCATTTACTCGGATTTGTCGCGTCGTTATCAAACGTATTATTATTATTATTATTATTATTTATTTTTCGATTTTGTAAATCCGATTACCTACCTCCTTTTTCTTCTTTCTCTCCCCATCCCCTCATCCCCTTCCCCTCCCATTTTTATATTTAACAAGTTTTTTAAAATTTACAATCAAGGTTATCTCGGAAAAATTTATATACACATAATTGAAACGTAACGTAAAAAAAGTCGTTATTATTTACATTCTGATAACACCGATATCAGAAAATTTAAATAATGATGATGATGATGATGACGTTTTCATTATATTTTGTACAAATATAGTACGTAATAAATGAGGAGGAGGCGGCGGGAGGGAAGGGGGTATGGTGGGTGGGGGGTAATGTGTGAGTTTGTAAGTTAATGATGACGTAGATGAACCATTACGATAAAAACTTTTATCCCGACGATATAAAAAATAACAAACGCTCTCTCCCTCTCTCTCTCTCTTTCTCTCTCTCTCTCTCTCTGATATCACGTGTAAATGATTAACCATTTGTTTTCTTATTTATATATATATTCTCATTCTCGTCGTCTGCTTTTAATTTATTTTCTTTATTCGATTTTATATAATTTTATTATTATCATCATCATCACCATCATCGTAACCATTGTTATTATTATTATTATTATTCAAAAAAAATAAATTTCAAAAATTTAACTTTATTATTATTGTTATTATTGTTATTGTTGTT